GTGAAAATTTGTGTATGCAATAATTTCGCCAAAATCATTCTGAACCTAACGAAAAAATTATATTTCACTGTGTTTGTTCAGCATTAAGCTACTGTAAACAAATCTAAAATATATTTAGTTGGGTTAGGCTAAAATAAATTGCTCTTGTTATAATAAGGTTAGGTAAGTTTTCTAAGATTCTTTTGGTGCAAAATTATAAATTTTTACATTATCATTAATGAAAAAAATATATCTTTAAATGTATAAGAGAAAATTTCAGAAAGGACTTAATTTTAAATAAGTTCTTGCTAATTGACCAGTTTTACATATTCGGCACGACATATATATATATATATATATATATAATATATATATATATATATATATATATATATATATATATATATATATATATATATATATATAATATATATATATATATATATATATGTGTGCAAAACAACCACTCTGAAAGAATAGAGAAATTCCAAGCGCTTTCGTGACTACTCACATTATCAAGGAACTATCATAGTTCCTTGATAATGTGAGTAGTCACGAAAGCGCTTGGAATTTCTCTATTCTTTCACAGTGGTTATTGTTTGTTATATATATATATATATATATTATATATATATATATATATATTATATATATATATATATATATAATATTATATATATATATATATATATATATATATAATATATATATATATAATATACATATGATAAATGATAAATGTACAGATGGTACTCTGTACCATCCTTCCACAGTGATTTTTCATAGGAAAGATATACATTAGCCACTGCTGTGACATAATGAACCAGTCTCCACTGTCTCTGAAGCTGCTGTTTCTCACGACCATCACAGCAGCAGCACAGCAGCAGCAGCAACAATAACAAAAATAACAACAACAGCAACAACAACAACAATCTATCACCACTACTAGCCATCCCACATATTTACCTCCTTCACTCCCTGGCACAGGATATATACCTTGAGGGGTGTAGTTCTCTCAGCGTATATATACCGAAAGTTTACTTTAATCCCAATTTTAAGCATTCTTGAGTGGTGATGGAAAAGTCACAGTGCAGCCTCAGTGTAGTCGATAGGGTTTAAACCCCATTAACCAACCAGTTCCCTGGCAGCAAGTAGTGGGGTTCTCTCCATGTGATTTTTGTTATTCTCCACAAATAAGCAAAATCCTCTTCAGCGCTCATTTGTGTCATCATAATTGTTTTTTTTATTTTTAAATTTAAACCAGCGTGAATTAATTTTAGTAGGGGGCTCATGTGAGCTGAATTATTATTATTATTATTATTATTATTATTATTATTATTATTATTATTATTATTATTATTGAAACGTTTTACCTCCTGATGTGACCCACAGCAGTCGACTAACACCCAGGTGCCTAGGTGAGCAGGGGCAGCTGGTGTAAGAAGCAGGTGGTGGGCCGGAATATTAGGCTCAAGTGGGCTGGGATAGTCTGTGGTGGTGGGCATGGGTAGCGGGTGGTGGTGCGGTACTGCTGACTCATGGGTGGCTGTAGTAGTTGTAGTGGTGGTGACAATGGTGGTAGTGTTGGTAGTGTTGTTAGAAGTGGTGGAGTGGGTGGTAGGCGGCGTCATCACACAAGGTCACTACACCTCTCCTGGGTCATCACTGGCACAGCTGACCTCCGAAATTCGTGAATACCGATTCCTCACACTTCCCTGAACGACGATTTCCAATAATCTTAGGTATTCGCTTTACTCTTAAAACCTTTTATTCTTTGCGACACATGGAAGTTAGAATTCCACTTTATCTCTCTCTCTCTCTCTCTCTCTCTCTCTCTCTCTCTCTCTCTCTCTCTCTCTCTCTCTCTCTCTCTCTCTCTCTCTCTCTTAACAAACGAGAGTGATGGGCTATAAAGCTTAGGGAATGACAGAAAAATTAAAGTGTGTTCTGTTATAAAGCTTGGGTACTGAGAGAAAGATTAGGATGTGTTGAGTTACAAAGCTTAGAGACTGAGAGAAAGTTGCTATGCTTGATTCTGTGATGTTACAAAGCTCTAATACCGCAGCATTGTGCAGTATTGCAGAGTTGAGCAGTGCTGCAGAGCTCAGAAGTGTTGAAGAATTGAACGGTGTTCCAGACTTGAGTAGCGTTGCAGAATTTAGCAATGTTGCAGAGTTGAGCAGTGGTGCAGGGTTGAACAGTGACGCAGAGTTGAGCAGTGGTGCAGGATTGAACAGTGACGCAGAGTTGAGCAGTGGTGCAGGATTGAACAGTGACGCAGAGTTGAGCAGTGGTGCAGGATTGAACAGTGACGGAGAGTTGAGCAGTGTTTGAGAGCTCTGATGGTCTGTGGTGTAACAGAACTTATCAGTGTCTCAGAACTCTGATGTACTCTTCTGTTACAGGACTCTGATGTACTCTGGTGTTGCATAGCTGTGATGTACTGTGGTGTTGCAGAGCTCTGATGTACTGTGGTGTTGCAGAGCTCTGATGTACTGTGATGTTGCAGAGCTCTGATGTACTGTGATGTTGCAGAGCTCTGAAGTACTGTGGTGTTGCAGAGCTCTGATGTACTGTGGTGTTGCAGAACTCTGATGTACTGTGGTGTTGCAGAGCTCTGATGTACTGTGGTGTTGCAGAGCTCTGATGTACTGTGGTGTTGCAGAGCTCTGATGTACTGTGGTGTTGCAGAGCTCTGATGTACTGTGGTGTTGCAGAGCTCTGATGTACTATGGTGTTGCAGAGCTCTGATGTATTGTGATGTTGCAGAGCTCTGATGTACTGTGATGTTGCAGAGCTCTGATGTACTGTGGTGTTGCAGAGCTCTGATGTACTGTGGTATTGCGGAGCTCTGATGTACTCTGGTGTTGCAGAGCTCTGATATACTCTGGTGTTGCAGAGCTCTGATGTATTCTGGCGTTACAGAGCTTTGATGTACTCTGATGTTGCAGAGCTTTGATATACTCTGGTGCTGCAGAGCTTTGATGTACTGTGGTGTCGCAGAGCTCTGATGTACTGTGGCGTTGCAGAGCTCTGATGTACTCTGGTGTTGCAAAGCTCTGATGTATTCTGGTGTTGTAGAGCTCTTATGTACTCTGGTGTTGCAGAGCTCTGATGTACTGTGGTGTTGCAGAGCTTTGATGTACTGTGGTGTTGCAGAGCTCTGATGTACTGTGGTGTTGCAGAGCTCTGATGTACTGTGGTGTTGTAGAGCTCTGATGTACTGTGGTGTTGCAGAGCTCTGATGTACTATGGTGTTGCAGAGCTCTGATGTATTGTGATGTTGCAGAGCTCTGATGTACTGTGATGTTGCAGAGCTCTGATGTACTGTGGTGTTGCAGAGCTCTGATGTACTGTGGTATTGCGGAGCTCTGATGTACTCTGGTGTTGCAGAGCTCTGATATACTCTGGTGTTGCAGAGCTCTGATGTATTCTGGCGTTACAGAGCTTTGATGTACTCTGATGTTGCAGAGCTTTGATATACTCTGGTGCTGCAGAGCTTTGATGTACTGTGGTGTCGCAGAGCTCTGATGTACTGTGGCGTTGCAGAGCTCTGATGTACTCTGGTGTTGCAAAGCTCTGATGTATTCTGGTGTTGTAGAGCTCTTATGTACTCTGGTGTTGCAGAGCTCTGATGTACTGTGGTGTTGCAGAGCTTTGATGTACTGTGGTGTTGCAGAGCTCTGATGTACTGTGGTGTTGCAGAGCTCTGATGTACTGTGGTGTTGTAGAGCTCTGATGTACTGTGGTGTTGCAGAGCTCTGATGTACTCTGGTGTTGCAAAGCTCTGATGTATTCTGGTGTTGTCGAGCTCTTATGTACTCCGGTGTTGCAGAGCTCTGATGTACTGTGGTGTTGCAGAGCTCTGATGTACTGTGGTGTTGCAGAGCTTTGATGTACTGTGGTGTTGCAGAGCTCTGATGTAGTGTGGTGTTGCAGAGCTCTGATGTACTGTGGTATTGCAGAGCTCTGATGTACTGTGGTGTTGCAGAGCTCTGATGTACTCTGGTGTTGCAAAGCTCTGATGTATTCTGGTGTTGTAGAGCTCTTATGTACTCTGGTGTTGCAAAGCTTTGATGTGCTCTGGTGTTGGTAACACTTTACTAAACTCAAATATTCTGAGCATTTGATTAAATTACTATTTTAAATCTAACGATAAGATCAATACGACTTGAAGAAAAGACTGAAAATTATGAAGAAAAATTCATAATGGAACACGTTAAAATTTTATCGAATGATGAAGGGCTGTTGATCTGAGTATCCAGAGCTACTGTCTTCCTCCTCGGATCAAATCTAATTGCCTATTATTTCCCAGGCGATATGTGAGCCTTACGGATTTAGCGCTTTTCTATGAATATAAAATAATGTTTCGATTGGCATCTATAGAGGCAAAAATATATAAACTAAGACTGGAAAGGACAGATGTTTAAGAATTGCGATGAATTTGCCCTACTGAAAAAAAACAAAGATTTATAAGAAGTCATTTGGGACGGCTGTGGCATTCATTGTCTCTCCCCCCCCACCCCAAAAAATTAAATTAATTAAAAACGAGTTAAGGGAGAAGAAGAAATGGACTCCAGTGGCAGGATGCAGAGCAGGAGTGAGGAGTGGGCCATGCGTGTTTTCCAGCAGTCAGAACGTAATCTCGCCGAGTTAGGAGGCACGGCACTGCTATACGAGCCTCTCTTAAACCAGAGGCTCTAGTTTCGTCATCACTCTTACTATCTCATGTTAATTCCGGCTTGTAAAACACTTATTCTTGGGCGTCGAAATTAATTTCACGCCTGTGTGTGCCAGACGTTCTCTGTTGCTTCTAAATGCTAACTACAGAAGATTTAGTTTTGAGCAGAAAAAAAAGAGACAAAATAAATTGATGATAAGCAGGGTGACTGGAGCTCCACTCTTACTGATACCACAACCAACTTTCTTACGCCCCTCCTGCCCGCCTCGCTGCCACGTCTTCTCGGTTCCTTGAGCCATATTGCTGTTGCGTGGGCTGAGTTTACCGTTCCGTTGTATTTTTTATTGTTTCGTTATCTTTTGTTTCTTTTAAAAACACATTAAGCTTAGTTTCAGCTTACTTTACACTGAGCAAGTTACTGAAGTACGTGTTTGCGCGTTTTCTTTCCAGCTGAAGTTCCAGACTGTGTAAATTTAGCGCTGCATCGACGCCTGCTACACTTGTTCTTCCTTATATGGTCCTGAGCAGCTGCCTGGCATGGTAGGATTAATTCCCAGATGTAAGTTAAAGCACAGGAGTGTTATATCAGCAGTAACGTGGAGTGCAGAGTGGAGGTGGTTGAGAGCGACCTCGACCAAGGCTGGGAGTCTGGCAGAAGCGGCGCAGGTCCGTTACTTTACGGTGCTGAGCGGCCACATCAGGTCTCCAGCACCAGCCGCGCGCCAGCCAGTCAGTAGGTTAGTGGTGGCGTCCCCCACCTCAGCTAGTGGGAGGGAGAGCCTTCTACTGCTGCTTCCCCGGCTGCTGTGGGGAGTGTGGGACCTGCCTGACGCTGCAGGCCCGCAGCAGCAAGGAGGGAGGCGCGCCAGCAAGTGAAACTTGCCGGCCCATCGGCGGACGCGAGGTGGCGGGTTTTCCCTTTTAGTATCGGCCCGTATGTAGGTCAGGCTTAGTTTCGCTTTTACAGTGGTATGCGATGGTCGGGCCCGTGTCTGCTGCGAGCGTGTGTGAGGCTCGCCCCTCCCCGTGACCACCACGGTGCTCTCTGACTACACTACCCTCTAGTGCAGTGTGCTGTGTCAACCATACAAGTGTACAAGTGAATATACAGTGTAACACTCAGTCACTAGATGCAACCAGTCCCTAGTAGTGTTGTGGTACTAGCCAAAACAGTGAATACGGATAATTGTGTGGCGTGTGATTATTGACTACACAGTGACCCTCTCATAAAGGATCCCCAACTGAGGACAGACATCGAGGTAAGTCCCATATTGATCAGAGATAGGCTCACTTGCTGGAGCGTTGAAATCTCCCAGCCAGAGATCGTAGTGCGTTGACCGAGAGTTCCAGGAAATGCATCGCTAGCTGGGATACTTGCGAGGATGACCTGGCTCTTGGCTGCCACAGTCTTAACAGAAGGTTGTTACAGGCCAAGCAAGAGACTAGCTGCGGCCGAGAAAGAGCTAGTACGTAGTGGTGTTATGCTAAGTTGTGAGAGGTCCGTGCAGGGTGCAACAGCCCCGTGGCTCTGTGGCAATGAGCTAGGCAAGAGAATCGCTCGAGTTTATGTGGCACCTTCACTGTTGTGGTGTGTGTGTGTGTGTTGTGTTTTGTGTGTGTGTGTGTGTGTGGTGGTACATTCACTGTTGTGAATTTTTTCTGTGTGGGCACCCATCACTGTTGTAGTGTGTGTGGGGGGAAGGGGGTAGCACCATTACTGATGTAGTGTGTTTGTGTGGGGGGCATGTTTTGTTGTAGAGTGTGTGTGTGGGAGAACAATTCGACATAGTAAGGGCACCCTTACTGTTATAGTGAGTGTGTTTGTGGTACAAACACTGATGTTTTTGTGTGTGTGTATGTGGGGTTGTGTGTGTGTGTGTGTGTGTGTGTGTGTGTGTGGGGTGTGTGTGTGTTGTGTGTGTGGTGTGGGTTTTTGTAGTGTGTGTGTAGGTCACCTTTCACTGTTGTAGTGTGTGATAGGTCACCTTCACTGTTGTAGTGGTGTAGGTTTTTTAATTAGCACCTTCACTGCTGTAGTGTGTGTGTAGGTCACCTTCACTGCTGTAGTGTGTGTTTAGATCACCTTCACTGTTGTAGTGAGTGTACGTCACCTCTGATATAGTGTGTACAGTTGATGTTCACTGTTGTACTGTGTATGTGTGCGTATGTATGTGCATGTGTGTGTGCATATGTATGTGCATGTGTATGTATGCATAGGTGTGCATGTGTGTAGCCACCTAACTCACCTAATTGTGGATGCAGGGGTCGAATCATAGCTCCTGGCCCCGTGTGTGTGTGTGTGTGTTTGGTAATAAAGGTAGTTTTATTTAAGACGTTATTAATGAAAACCTCTTGCAAGACACTGGGAGAGACCAGGAAAAACCATGCGCCCCCCCGGTGCCCTGATTGTCACCAGGGTGCCCTGATTGTCACCAGGGTGCCCTGATTGTCACCAGGGTGCCTCTGATTGTCACCAGGGTGCCTGATTGTCACCAGGGTGCCCTGATTGTCACCAGGGTGCCCTGATTGTCACCAGGGTGCCTCTGATTGTCACCAGGGTGCCCTGATTGTCACCAGGGTGCCCTGATTGTCACCAGGGTGCCCTGATTGTCACCAGGGTTTCCTCTGATTGCACCAGGGTGCCCTGATTGTCACCAGGGTGCCCTGATTGTCACCAGGGTGCCTCTGATTGTCACCAGGGTGTCCTGATTGTCACCAGGGTGCCCTGATTGTCACCAGGGTGCCTCTGATTGTCACCAGGGTGCCTTGATTGTCACCAGGGTGCCCTGATTGTCACCAGGGTGCCTCTGATTGTCACCAGGGTGCCCTGTTTGTCACCAGGTGCCTCTGATTGTCACCAGGGTGCCTCTGATTGTCCCAAGGGGGCCTCTGATTGTCACCAAAGGTGCCTTGATTGTCACCAGGGTGCCTTGATTGTCATCAGGGTGCCTCTGATTGTCACCAGGGTGCCTCTGATTGTCACCACGGTGCCTGCGATTGTCACCAGGGTGCCTCTGATTGTCACCAGGGTGCCTGTGATTGTCACCAGGGCGCCTGTGATTGTCACCAGGGTGCCTGTGATTGTCACCAGGGTGCCTCTGATTGTCACCAGGGTGCCTCTGATTGTCACCAGGGTGCCTCTGATTGTCACCAGGGTGCCTCTGATTGTCACCAGGGTGCCTGTGATTGTCACCAGGGTGCCTGTGATTGTCACCAGGGTGCCTCTGATTGTCACCAGGGTGCCTCTGATTGTCACCACGGTGCCTCTGACTTTTCACCAGGTGCCTGGATTGTCACCAGGGTGCCTCTGATTGAAGTCAACCAGGGTGCCTCTGATTGTCACCAGGGTGCCTCTTATTGTCACCAGGGTGCCTGTGATTGTCACCAGGGCGCCTGTGAGTGTCACCAGGGTGCCTCTTATTGTCACCAGGGTGCCTCTGATTGTCACCAGGGTGCCTGTGATTGTCACCAGGGTTCCTCTGATTGTCACCAGGGTGCCTGTGATTGTTACCATGGTGCCTCTGATTGTCACCAGGGTGCCTCTGATTGTCACCAGGGTGCCTCTGATTGTCACCTGGGTGCCTCTGATTGTCACCAGGGTGCCTCTTATTGTCACCAGGGTGCCTCTGATTATCACCACGGTGCCTCTGATTATCACTAAGGTGCCTCTGATTGTCACCACGGTGCCTCTGATTGTCACCACGATGCCTCTGATTATCACTAAGGTGCCTCTGATTGTCACCAGGGTGCCTCTTATTGTCACCAGGGTGCCTCTTATTGTCACCAGGGTGCGTCTTATTGTCACCAGGGAGTCTCTGATTGTCACCAGGGTGCCTCTTATTGTCACCAGGGTGCCTCTGATTGTCACCAGGGTGCCTCTGATTGTCATCACGGTGCCTCTGTCACCACGGTGCCTCTGATTATCACTAAGGTGACTCTTATTGTCACCAGGGTGCCTCTGATTGTCACCAGGGTGCCTCTGATTGTCACCGGGGTGCCTCTTATTGTCACCAGGGTGCCTCTGATTGTCACCACGGTGCTTCCGATTATCACTAAGGTGCCTCTGATTGTCACCACGGTGCCTCTGATTGCCACCAGGGTGCCTCTGATTGTCACGAGGGTGCCTCTGATTATCACTAAGGTGCCTCTGATTGTTACCAGGGTGCCTCTTATTGTCACCAGGGTGCCTCTTATTGTCACCAGGGTGCCTCTTATTGTCACCAGGGTGCCTCTGATTGTCACCACGGTGCCTCTTATTGTCACCAGGGTGCCCCTGATTGTCACCAGGGTGCCTCTGATTGTTTTCACGGTGCCTCTGTCACCACGATGCCTCTGATTATCACTAAGGTGCCTCTGATTGTCACCACCGTTCCTCTGTTTGTCCCCACGGTGCTTCTGATTATCACCAACGTGCATCTAATTTCACCACGGCGCATCTGATTGTCTCCACGTTGCCTCTGATTGTCGCCGCAAAGCATCTGAGTATCATCATTGTGCCTCTGATTGTCATCACAGTGCCTCTGATTGTCACCATGGTGCCTCTGTTACCACGTTGCCTTTGGTTATCACCACGGCGCCTCTGATTGTCTATCATCATGGTGCCACTGATTGTCTACCACCATGGTGCCTCTGATTGTGTATCATCATGGTGCCTTTGATTGTCCATCATGGTGCCTTTGATTGTCTATCATCATGGTGCCTCTTACTGTCTATCATCATGGTGCCTCTGATTGTTTATGATAGTGCCTCTGTCTATCATCATGGGGCCTCTGATTGTCTATCATCATGATGTTTCTGATTGTCTATCATGGTGCCTTTGATTATCTATCACCACGGTGCCTTTGATTGTCTGTCACCAAGGTGCCTCTGATTGTCACCACAGTGCCTCTGTAGTTGCAATGTTCCAATGTTCCTTGTAAGCTCCCAATGTTCCTTGAAAACTTACTGTGCTCCTTGCAAGCTCACGGTGCTCCTTGCAAATTCCTAGTGTTCCTTTGGATATTCACTGTGCTTCTTGCCTGCTCCCTGTGCTACCTGCTGGCCCAACCAGACTGACGCAACACGTGATTCACTAATCTCATTTGAAGCTTACAACGATCGAGCAATGACACCCTCAAAGTGACACCCTCAGAGTGACACTCTCAGGGCGACACCCTGAAATTGGCATCCCTAAAAGTGACACCCTCAAGGGTGACGCGTTCAGTAAAGAGGCGAGGCCAGGAGCTGAGTCTCGACTCCTGCAACCACAATTAGGTGAATACAACGCGAACACCAACAAATCACCTTTAGGAAGAAAAGTGTGAGTAAACACACACACACACACACACACACACACACACACACACACACACACACACACACACACACACACACACACACACACACACACACATACACACACACACTCGCGTGCGCCGAGCCTGTTCGAGGAATAACTAGTATTACCTGTTGAATACCTCGTGACGATTTGGAGATCATCGTCCCTGCAGCCCGGTCCCACACCATGCCTCCTGGCCAGAGACGGATGGGGAGAGAGACGGATGCTGAGGGAATAGGTAGGAGAGACGGACGCTAGGGGAATAGGGGAGGAGGTAGGAGAGACGTGCTGGACAGGGGTCGTGAACGAGGAAGTCACGACAGCAAGGAGAGAGAGAGAGAAGCTTCGAGCGTGGGACCACAGATTCACTGCTCGCTATCACGCTTCTTCTTCCAGCTTCTCTCCTCCAAGCTGGGCCAGACTTACAGCTTAACTAGGCTTCATCTCTGGGAATCACGACTGAACGGCTTCAAAAATTACTTGCCCACTTTCTCTCTTATAATTCACTGTTACCTATTTCGATTTGTGGTAACTTCGTGATGTTTACCTCGTGGCAACTCTTTGATGTCTACCTTGTGGCAGCTCTTTGATGTCTACCTTGTGGCAGCTCTTTGATGTCTACCTTGTGGCAACTCTTTGATGTCTACCTTGTGGCAACTCTTTGATGTCTACCTTGTGGCAACTCTTTGATGTCTACCTTGTGGCAACTCTTTGATGTCTACCTTGTGGCAGCTCTTTGATGTCTACCTTGTGGCAGCTCTTTGATGTTTACCTTGTGGCAACTCTTTGATGTCTACCTTGTGGCAACTCTTTGATGTCTACCTTGTGGCAACTCTTTGATGTCTACCTTGTGGCAACTCTTTGATGTCTACCTTGTGGCAGCTCTTTGATGTCTACCTTGTGGCAACTCTTTGATGTCTACCTTGTGGCAATTCTTTGATG